GTTTTCAAATTAATCAGTAAAATGGTTATTAGTATCAAAGGCACCACAATTCAGTTGGATGTTGTTAATTCATTCTGAATTTATTGATTCAATAAATCAGATTAACATTTAAATGCCTCATAAGTTTACATAATTACTCAATTTAAAATGCACCCATTAAAAAAAACAAAATCACCATTTTATTTTATTATCTTATTCTGCAGCATATCAGTCAGTGGGCGGGCCAACCCTGCTTTAAACAAAGGCACTGGTCTGCAGTTTAGCTGCTGCATAGGTTATAAAATCAGATATTAAAACTGACCAGACTTTCATCTACATGTCCCCATCACAAGTTTTAGTTCATCACACAAACTTTGAGTTAAAATGTTAAGAAAGTTTACCGTAAAAGATGATCTAAGGTTGAAGTATGGAAATAAAAGTCGAGGAACAGAGCGCCAATGTTTGTTTTATTACAAAAATAAAATACAAACGATGACCCGGACAGTACGCAGTAGACTTGTTACCAAAACCGAAGCATTTTCATTCGTTAGTCAGTGCTGTTTTTTCTTTCTTTCTTGTATTTCACTTTACTCAATTTGGCTTCTTTAAATGTACCAGAATAACAAAAGTAGAAAGAGTTGAGTTTCTGTAAATGGCTGCTTCCCTTTCAGATTTACACGTTTCTCATTTTTGGCAAAAAAACAAACATTGTGTATGATATATGGGAAGAAAATTTAAATATACAGATTACTGATGCCAAAAAAAAAAAAATAATTCTTTAGGTTAAATGTCGAGGAATTCAGCCTAAAATGTGCTGGTTTACTGCAACCCAACTGTGTTCCACGTTGAGGTCTTTCATGTGTATATTATATAAAACTCATGGTGCTGTATTAAGAGGATTAAAGGCAACGGTTAAATATTCTCTGAAATTCCACAAGGGTTGAAAACGAGAAGAAAGCCGCATTTAAAAATGTGAGCAGCAAGAAAACATAATCAACGTTTCTCTGAGTGCACAGCTTCAACATGTGGTTCATCGTCCATGAGTCAGGAGTGGAAAGTACTGTTGATTTAGGGCGACAGATATAACAAACAGCAAAAACAAAAGGAGGCATGTGAGCTAAAACAGTTGAACTCAAGCCCCTCAGCAGACACAAGCATACAGAGTTATGTCATTAAAGTAGCATTACAAGTACATATTTTTAAACTCTTTTTCCAAAGAAATACATACAAATTCATTGATTACAGTACAGCGAAGTGCCATCAGTACTGACAGTTAATATTGCTTGTACTGGTGCCCACAGACAACTGACAGAAAGGGAGTCGCAGCATATAACAGTAAGTTTATGTTTGCATAGCCTAGTTGAGTAAAGTTTACAGAGATGCGTGATGTAGGGGAGGGGATATTGAACGGGACCATCTTGAAGCGTTTCCTTTGGCTTTTTAAGAGACGGAGGGTTAGAAATATACTCTAGCTCCTATTTTCCTCAATTATAACCCTGAGAGTGAAAAAAAAAACAACCTCTAGCTTGGAGCGTTTAAAGTGTGGAAATGTAGAAGGGCTTTAGCAGATCTATATGGATGGATGTGGCCTGTTTCTTATGAAGGACACATCCACACAAGCAGACAGTAATGTATGTTTTCACTGAGCATACATGTGGTAGGTCATCATCACGCACCTCTGATAACAAGGCAAGGATAAAGCCTAAAGCAGAACAAACATGTTAATACACAATCAGCTAATATATAAATATGAGCTCTACCACATCAGGGAACACCCAAAGTTCACTTTACACGTCTCTACGTTTCAGATAGTGGATCACTTTGATGGTGGTTTCAAAAGAGAAGAACACAATCCTTCAGTGAAGAACATGGATGTCTGCAGACAACGCGTTACCAATATTTAGCCCTTAGTCTCAGGAAATATATGAAAACCAAGAAAGGAGATATAAAAGAACCCCTAACCTAACCTCATTTCTCACTGCCCTCCCCTGCTCTTATTAAATATGTACATACGCACCATGCCTTGTATCCATATCTTTGGAAACTTTCCAAATTTTGTCACATTTTAACCATAAACTTTGAGGTATTTATATAGACTGTGGCATAGACCAACACAAAGCAGCGCATTGCTGACATGGAAAGAAGGGGACTTCAAAGATTGTTTTGTTTACAAAACTGCATCACATCCCTATATTCTAACACCCCAAGTGCAACCAGTCACTTTCTTTAGTCACATATTTACTCGACAGAGTATTTCACTATACATACAGCTGCTTTGTTAGGGCCTCAGATGTTTGATTGGGGTTCCTGACTATATGTTGAAAAGTGTCAAGAAGAAAACCCTCACAGGTCAAAAGAAAAACCTCTTTGAGGCTGGAGAAAGAAAAACAGTCTAGCAGAAAACACTAAACCAAAAGCAGGAGCTTTAATGGAATGGTTTATATATACACATATTCGATGTGGCCCAGTTTATAAGGAAAAACAAGACCAAAAAACAAAAAAAAAAGCTTGGAAATTTTATGTTAACAAATGGATTCCATCCAATCTGACAGTTCTTAGCTGTTTTTTGCAAACGTATATTCTCTAGATGTGCAAATTGGTTTAGAGACCTACACCTCAGGAACTGCTGGTGTAAAAGCAGCAACATTATCCACACTTGGGAGTGTAAATCTTTTTTTAAAAAGCACTATTTTGTGTTGGTCTCTTACATTAAACCCCAATTTATAAAATACAAGGAAATTTGTGGTTGTTCAAAAACAGAATATGGAAAACTTTCAAAGGGGCGTGAATATTTTTGCAAGGCACTGAGAGCAACGATCCCCTCCCACCCACATACTAACAGTAACAGCACAACCTTGATTTTTATCATGCTTCTGAGTCTGATAGAACAAACCAACTGCTTTCAAATACATACACACAGAAACGAACAAAAACAAGAGCATAAACTGAAAAATCTGGTCTGAACACATTTCATCAGTGCCACAGCTAACTAGATAAGAGTATCTTTAACTCAACAATCACTTCTCAGCAACAAAACCACCTCATCTCAGTGGTTTTTCAATGTTTATATACCACATCCTCTATGCAGAGAGCCAGCCAATATTTCAAGGATGAGATTAAACACTACCTTCTACTGACACAACAGTGCTCCTCTGCTCTCTAAGACAACCATGCTTTCACAAATATTACAACTTGTGAAAAAAAAAAAAAACACTTTATATCTACTCTAATAAGGCAGTATTACACTTGTTTTCACATACAGATGTTATATATTATTTTGGAACTCAAATCAAGACATCTGCCCTATAGAAATGCAACAAGGATGTTTAAGGTTTGCTGTAAAAAAAAAAACACCAAAAGAAAACAACAAAAACAAACAAACGTTATCTAATTTGCCTAAAGGTCTGCAGCCATGCTTACATTGACACCGCACCTCTGAAAAGGTCACCGTCGTGTTAGAATGGCTTCGAGTTCAAGCACCTGCTGAGTGATGCATCACAATCGCACCTTGACGGGTAAAGTTTTGATCTCCTGTGTAAACGTGGATCGTTCTGTCCCGACATGTTCTGTGCAGTCGCTGTGTGTCGCTACATTCTCTAGCCACAGCAGTGTTCAAACTGAACCACAGCCTGAATAAAGCTGCTGCAGGCTGGTGGGAGAGGAAACACTTTCATTTTGATCTGCACAAGCCCAGACATTTCACTATAATGTGCACTTTAAGTACGAATATACAGGTTCTGGTGTGGAGCAGGCCTTCCTGTTTAGACAGGACTGAACTGTTGGTATGCATTCCCCCATGCCTGTATACTTCTTGCACAAAGTCGGACTGCTGTCATCTGATTCAGGCAATAACCCCATTTTAAAATACACCAGTAGGCATGAACAAATTACAGGGATCAAGGTACTTGAAGGAGATTTGATGGAAGTTTTCAGCAGCTTCTTGAGGCTCAGTGTAATACAGTGCTACTGTTCCCAGCCTGCTGCTGCACACCTCTTTTTCCCCTGAGACATTTATTACTTATTGGTTCTTAATAAGAATCCAAATTAAAATAGCATTTAAACAGGAATTCTAACAGGTTTTTTGTACATGCTGGGCCATGCCTACATGGAATATTTCAGAGGCTAATATTACCAAGAAGCCATTGTGTGCATGTGATTATGTAGTCAGGACTGCAGTCTTCATACAATTGCAGCAGAAAAAGCTTGATCATTCTTAACAAGTTTCAGTTTTCTGTGCAGGAGCCTCAATCTCCTGCTGCCTACCCATCTCTCGCTGGTTAGTTCATTTTCTAAGCATGCAAACAACAGTTTAAGAAACAAGCCACATGCATTGGTGTGGAACATGCAGTTCATTGCAAGCATTTCTGTGGGCGAGCCAAAACTAAATCAACTGCCGAGCAGAGGATGCAACCGTCTCGACTTGCTAATCTACTGGCCCTATACTGCCAGTGGAAAAATGCCACCACAAATCCCTCACACCGACAACAGCTATCAAAAAAACACACACCCACAACGGCACCAGCTGCCTAGTTACCAGTTATCAATAAAAACTACATCAAGACATCCAAAGATGAATCAACCCATTTTTTTTTATTTACCTAAAAAAAGTGTAATTTAATTTTAATCACCGCTTCAGGCAAAGATCACCAATAAATGATGACCGAAGAAAGTATTGAAAATGACGGAAAATGCTAAATCACTCGAATATGAAACACCAAGACACGCCTCGTGCATAAAAATAGAAAATAAAGAGGAACAAAATCAGTGCTTTTAATTGTTAGTCCACTTCAATGATCTCAAAAGCATCCATTTATTTAGTGCCCCACACACCCACTGATCGATCGATCGATCGATCACTGCCACAGCAAGGAGGTTTGCCTGAATGAATGTCCGACACCTGTAGCTTTTACTGAAGCAGAGCTGGTTATGTGATGGGACAGCAAAGAGCTAATACATCCTTCAACAATGACCAAAAACATCCCTATACTGGATGATACAATTCCCTCCAAGATAACAAGTTAAATTGAATGGTAACATAAAGCTCCCCGCAAGGTTTTAATTGGAAAGAATCTTCCCCATGTTAGTAAATGCTAAGGATCCTCTTCACCCGTCTAATTAGAAACCACCAAGCTCTGGTGACAACATGAAATTCAAACAAAAGAAGAGATCAGGATGACATTTAAAACACAAGAGGGATGTCTTCTCTGCTCAAGTGTTCAGCCCCTCCTCCCAACCAATGGCGTCCATGACCTTAGAGATGACATCACTGCGCAGCTGTGGCCTAGATTTCACAGCGAGCCCTCAGTACTTAAACACATTAAGCTTTGGGAAAAACAAAGAAGAAAAAAAAAGATCTGGTTCTAATTTCAAAATGACTGTTAAAGACGTTTGTTCTTCCCTCATTTCAGTCACGACGGCTGCCCGAGAGATGTTGTTTACCGTGTTCTGGACAGCCGTCAATCCAGAGGTCATATCTTAGTTGGGAGGATAGGGCAGAAATGTTCTGATCTACGAGGATGTGGGACAGAAACGAAAACCGCAAAGCAGCGCTGTATGAGAGGGAAGGGTGAAACTGCCTCTTCTACTTTCAGTCCAAAGCAACCGCTTTCTTTCTCTTCATATTCTGTGATGTTTTCACTCTGGATGGAAGGTAAAAATATACCCAACAAAGCAGCAAAAATGTTTGTTGGATTCCCCACTGTGAAAAGTAGTGAAAAAAGAGCTAGATGTTCCTCACATTCTTACTAAATCTGTCCTAAACCAGAACCCAAACTGATTAGTCATCATCTTCATTTTGTTAATGTCAGTCCAGGGGAATAAAGCTTAAACATTCCCCGTGCCAATGATAATGGCAAACGTTATCACCCTGCGTGAAGCTGGAAGCTGCATCGGTTTGCTGGTTATTTATGCTGTGGATCACACCAGGTGGTCTCCAGTGCTGGTGTTGGGGGCCTGGCTGGGCAGCTCCGGGGTGCACTCCTTCTGTCTGAAGGTCTCCTGAGGACGTCCAGAGCAGCACTCCCCGCTGTTGCTTCTGCACATCCGGTTCTCCTCGTCGCTTTCTTCCTCGAGCCCCGAGCCCTCGTCGACGTCCAGCTGGCAAACGCAAACCTCGATCCCTGAGTCGCCAGTTACATGCCGGCGTCGAGTTACAAGCTCCTCATCCTCCTCGTCTGCCGCAGCCCCCAGAAGCAGAACATCCACATCCTCCTCTTCCCGACACAGTGATTGGACAGGTTGTGACATTGCCCCCTCGTCTGACGAGACGCTTGATGCCTGACAGTCCGCTGCTGGCTCTGCGTCGGGCAGCATTTGTGGCACAGAGACAGAAACTGGCTGGGTTATTTGTGGAGGGATCGCTGGAGTCGACTCAGGGGGGTTTTCAGAGTACGGCGGGGGCGGGGTTGGGGGGTGCCCTACAACCTCTTCATAGTCGGGAAGCTTGCAGTCATTCCAAAACCCTAAGGACCATAAAACAAGCTGTTAGATTTCGTCCATTAAATTGATATGTAATAAGAAAAATTCCATATATCAGTATATCTGACCCAGCTGTTCAATTATTGAACTGAAAATTAAGGAGCAATAAAACCTACAAATATTAAGAGTATTAAGAAAACAAATCACTATCATCCTTTTACTTCTGAAAGCCAGCATTTTACCATTACGTATAAAACGGGCAGTGCGGAGAATATTGAGGCTTTCACAATCATGTTTTGAATAAAAATGCCAGCCAGAACTAGAGCAGAAATGACAACATCCAACTGGAACATGAATAAAGATCTGACTGAAAGCTGCCAGAAGTTAGGTTTTTATAACTACAGGTTGTTCCAAGCTGTCATTCATCAGTGCACTGAATAACAGAGACTGGGCTAGCCGCAGAGCATTTTTAGCTCATCTTAGGGGTCAGGTCTATTATAACCCCAAACTAGCAACTGGTAAAAATATTTTAAAAGGGTAAAGAGGTGATCATTCTGTTGAGTCAATAGGAAGGTAAAAACTGTTTCAAGAAAAAAAAAAAAAAAAAATGACAGTCTGCATGATTTGTTCACCGAGTAGCTGTATAGACTGCTCCTTTTCTGGTGGGTTATCTTAGTTAAAGATAAACCCCCAGGGTTGCTGAGAGATACTAACAGGAATAACTCGTTTAATTTAATGTATCAAGTCATATCATTTTCATGCTAACAAACAAAAAGACAAACATCTACCTTTTATAAACCTCTGGAACTACTTTAATCATTATAAAGCATTCTAAAAGATTGAAAGTCTAAAAACCCCTGCAGCCCTAACATTTTTCACCTTACCTACATTGAGAGTGAGTTAAAGGTTTTAGCTGGTTGTAAATAAGTAACGGTTACAAATTTTCCATTGTAAATTTAGTTTTTCTCCAGTGCTGCAAAGTGCAGTCCATCAGGTTGTGTGCAGCATAAAGTTACACTCGCCCCGCCCCCATCAGAGGACAGTCCGTCACCGGGCTGTTTATGACGACCAAAGACACTGATCCATGAGAATTTCGCCACACTTGGGGAAAAAAAAAAAAAAACTTAAAAGAGATTGCTGTTTGAAACAGCTCAGCTAGCAAGGCAATGGGAAAAGTCTGAGGCATGGCTTAGACAGCGCCAGTTATCACTTACAGAAAATTGCTGTCTTGACATGTTTGTAAGGAGATGCAAAGATTACAGTGCAAGAAACAGCCCAATAAGGACTTATTACCACAGCGACAACATGAGTGTTTTAATTAAATTATTTTGTGGAGGAAAAGGGATTTTCATCTAAGTGCTGCAAACTATTTGGTTGGTTTTGTTTGTTACAAAAAGAACACAATCTTATAATGGCCCACATCTCATGCTGAAACTGTTACTACTATTATTATTTGTTTTCTTGCAAAGATGGCTTTGTTTCCATTATTTCTAGACATCTGCAAGGACAGCCTACAAGACTAGATGTTGTCATAGTGTCTTTGTGAGTCACTGTCTACATATGCATGTAGTTGGGAGTTGTGTTATAATTCTTGACTCAAAGTCAAGCATGATGGCTGTGGGCTTTAGACACCAACTAATGTGCAGCTTGACCCACTGCCATTTGAGATATTAATGGACATGATATCCTTTTCCTGGTTGGCTTAGAGTAACCAATGACATGACAATGACAGAGTAACCAAGGGGACAGCTCTGCTGCTGACTCTTACTGCTTCCATTTCAACTTCAAGATACAAAAGATTTCAGCCAATGAGGACATTATCAGGACAATTGTGAAGTTATGGCTTTATTTATTAAGAAAAAAGATAAATGGGAAAGAATCATATCTTATTAGGTAAAGGACTCAATAGCTATAAACATTAAAACATTAATATTAGGCAAATTACATTCAATATACAAAGTTGGGCCATAAAAGGCAAAAGGGTAAGATATTTTGTGACTCTTTTAGTTTGTCACATTTAACCAGTTTACTAATTTCCCTTGAAGAATTATGGGAAACATTAAACATGAGTTATACGTCTTTCTTTCAATTGCTTCTTTCTTAAAATTTACTATTAGTCAAACTACATTCCCTTTGCTGTAGATCTCTGCAGCTCCTCCATAGTTACAATGAATCTGAGCTCTGCTAAATAAGCAGGTTAGCGCAAGGATACAAAATAAATGCGGCTTTAAACTTTACATCCTTATCCGAGTCCTGTCTGATGTGTTTTCTGAGGGTTTTTTTTGTCTTTGTAACACCGTTTGCTTTCTTCTTCCATAGGTTGGGTTATATTCAACAGAATAGTTGTAATTGCAAAGAGGTTAAACTACAAAAACATTGACTTTATGTACAGAATGAGTGAAGACACATCCATAAGAAACTGGTTGTACTGGATTTTATTTAGGGTTACAACAGTAAAAAGTATTGAGTACTAATACACTTTTTTGACATTTATTTTAAGAAAGCCGACTAGAAACTAAGTACTTATGTCCTTCCTCTTTGCAACCATGCAGTACTTTGTATTGGTTTGCCACACAATTTCTTAATAAAATAAAAAAATTGCAGTTGTATCATGACTAAATTGGGAAAAGCCTGAGTGGTGTACAATATTCCTATGTAAGGCAATTCTAAGATTACTTACTTAAACTGAGAGGCGGAGGGGTTATGAAGGAGGTTGAAGCACCTTGATAGGCCATTAGGCTGATCTCACGTTGTCGCTGTTCCTGTTGCAGACGCATTTTAACTCTCCGGTGTCGATAGGCACAGCAACAACTGAGCATTATGATAAGTGTCCATACCAACCAGAACCCTGTGGGAGGGAACAGCCTAAGTTTAGTCTTTGCATCATTGCTGTATGGCACTGTGTTGGTTATTAAAGTATTTTTCTCATAGGCTATAAACAACTAATGAGGAGAAAGGAAAACTCTTAAATCTTGCTAGAGGAAATGAAAGAAAAGGCACTAAAATCATTTAGAATATTAACTTTTAAGTAACATAAGAAAGCGAAAATGGAAAGTCATACATTTTTTTCTACCTTTTAATTCTATACCTATATAGTTAGAAGAGTTAGAATGTTATGTCAAATATTAGAGATTAGGTTTAATGTTGTTAAACTTTTTGGAGGAAATTCAATCAATATGCTTAAAGATGCTTCTAGAGTAAGGGATGGATGAATGAAATACATACATATATATATATATATATACATATATATATACACATATATATATATATATATATATATATATATATATATATATGTATGTATGGATGTATGGACCAAATTTACCGGGAGGGCAAGGTGGGGCCAACAAAAAAAAAAACAAAAAAAAAAACAGGGCAATAGTTCATTGTAGGGCTGCAACTAATTATTATTGAGCAAATCGAGTAGTCTCTCAATTATTTTTTTTTTTATTAATTGATTGGACAGGCAAAGGTTCCTTAAAGAAGATTTTTTATAAGATTAAAACAGGTGAAACTAAACCGTTTCCTCTAGAGGAGTTCTGGATAGAGCATATTGACAGACAAATATGTTTTTTTTATATCTTAAATGCAAAATGTTTATTTATTTTTTTTACAATTTGGATATCATTACTGCTCTAAGTGGGTTGCTCTATCAGCTAAAGGCATGTATAAGAGTCTCTATACTCCAGTTAACGATTAATCGATTACTTAATTGGTTGCCGATTAGTTCAATAATCGATTAATCTGATTAATTGTTTCAGCCCTAATTCATAGTTTGACATTTTAAGTGAGCTAAAGAGCCATTAGCAACCATGGAGACCTAATATTTAGCAGATAAACACTTGAGCCTATGAGAGAAAATAAGAGGAACAAATAGCATTTTATATTATAATTAAGATCTTAATTAACTGTAAAAAAAAGATCAATTGTTTCAAGGTGTACTCAGTGGTTTCCATGACAGTGCATATTGTAAATAGACATTTATTTAGTATTACGTCTTTAGAAGCAGCCAGGACTGTTACCACAGGGGCACCGGCCCCTGTTGGCCCCCGTCTAGAACTGCCCATGGATGGAAGAATGAATACAGTATTGAGGTACAAAAGGAAAAAATGTAGATAGTAGTGAGGTCTGCAAATAAATTGATATTTTCCATGCTTGTACAGACCTAACAAAAAAAAATAAATCAAAATATCAAACTCCTTCATAATAAAAACTGAAAACAAATCGTGTTAACTTTGTCTGACTCCCATAACAGGGTCTATATAGTATGTGAACAGGAAGCCAACAAGGGGTAAAAGGAAAACAAATTTTTTCTCATTTAACCACGTATAATACCACAGGCTTTCCAGATGTACTTACACCATAGTTCGTAGTAGTAAGTGCAGCACTCTGTTTCTCCACAGCAGTAGCCCATCTCACAGCGGTACTGTTCATTATTTACCCCCGAACAGAACTCCTTTCCCTTTAGAAAGAGGTAAACATAGAAGAACAGGAAACACTCAAGTGCAAAAGTAAACAAATGCAAAGCTAGGGCAGCTTGCCCTTTCTCACTGTCACTTCAATGTCACTTTCTATATATTTGAACATTTCAGTTAACTATATACAGCTTTTAAATGTACTTTTCTGCTTTGTATACAACACGTTAGCAAACTACTAAGTAAAAGCACTAACTAAAACGTATCATAAACAATGTAGCATCAAATATCATACAAACTATGAGTTATTATCCTCCAACTGAATATCGTTATTAACACATAATAGTGGTAGAAAATAAATAATCTGAGAATTCCACATTCCTCTACTGTCAAACTCAGGTTTTAATATTTAAAAATATACTAAAGAACTTCAGTTTTGTAAAGAGACAATTTTCTTATAACTCTGCGCCGACCAAGTTTTTTTTTTTTTTTTTTTTTGAAATAGATAAATTGGAAAGTTATGTGAATAACTTGCCTACTCAGTCTGCCGAGCTAACGCCTATGAATAAATATGTCGATTCGCCGGGTATCCGCTAGCTAAAAAGGCTAACGTTAATCTAAACACCTTCGATTTGAACTGTCAAAATCTGCCTTTGGAACAGCATTGTACTTGTAGTTTGAATATAAAATAAACCCAGGTATTGAAAGAAGACTTCAAATGTAATGAAAAACTTTGGCAAACTGACGTCACCCACGGTAAAGAGAAGCGAACCTGCAGTTTTCTTTGTGGTGGAGACACACACACACAAAAAGAGGCCTTCGCCCAGTCCGAGAGCAGCGGGCTGGAGTGGAGGCTTACGCCGACAAAGTGGGCTCTAAATACGGGCTTACCTGCACCAGACAGGTCCCGGTACAAAGAAGACCTACAATGGATCCCAGTGCTTTATGCTGCATCTCTCGGGGTTATCGGTCGTGAACACGACGGGAACCATATAGCAGTCAGTCGGATAGACGCCCCGCAGCAGAGACGGCAGATAACTGAACGTTGCTAACGGTTCACTCTGTCACACTCTGACATGTTTTTGTTGTTTGACCGAGATACACTCCCCAGTACGGATATAAATCTGAAACGGCTATCAAACGGTAGGGGGCGCTGTCTGACCGAAAAGCCATATAAAAACAGGAACATAATAGATAGAAATTCCTTTTTCCTATTTCCACATGTTAAGCATTTGTGTCGGATTATATATATATATATATATATATATATATATATATATATATATATATATATATATATATATATATATATATATATATATATATATATATATATATATATATATATATATATATATATTTTTTTTTTTTTTTTTTTTTTACAAGTTGATATAATTTGCTGTAATTAGTTGGATTAGATCTGTGTGTTGGAATGAATTTAAATTGGACATGGTTTTTTTTTTTATGTATATACATATGAATGTAACCCATTTATAAAGTTCTTTATCAAGAACGTCATCATCACAGAAACAACATTACAGAAACATAAACATTTTCTATCTTTTTGCTTTTGCTGATGTTACAGTTTTCCTTGCGGCAAATCCTTGGCAGCCCTCAGCCGAGACACATGGTGAGGAAAATCTTAATCCACTCAGGCCGAGCAACGGCCACAGAAGGACCTGTGGACAGTATGGTGAGTTATCTTCATTCTTATTTGCAGCAAAGGACATTTTTAACCCAAGAGGCCTAACTTATATTTCAAAGTACTATAGGCTGATTTAGTCTGTTATATTTATCAGAGGTATAAATATGTCTTAGTAAAGTTGGTGAGACAGGTGTTGATTCTATTGGCTGTCATAAACACTAGTAGCTTTATTTCTGCACTAAGTTCAAGTACCTAGTTTAGTAAATGGTTTCAGATGTCATTTAAATTAACTTAAATGATAATGCTTAGTTAATTAAGTAACTGTCTGCCTAAAATCAAATCAGCAGGAATAAAAGAAAATTAACCCAATAAATTTCCCAAAGCATAAACTGTAATGTAGAAAGTGATAAAAAAAAACATATAAAAACAACATTAATAATATCTAGTAAAGTGAACAAAAATCAGCTGAATATATCAGTTCTTTGCATTTCTTGTTGTATTAAAGTAATTCAGACTATGAAACATTTGTACCACATTAAAATATTCTGGTTGTGTCAAAGCCTTGCACACTGTTTTCTACAGCTACCTAATCTTGGCTGACTGCAGGGCGTCTTTAACCTGTTACATTTATAGACAACTTTAAAAGCTAACAGCTAAATCCTTTGCTTTTTACAGCCATGCTTCTAGAACTGTCCTAAAAATACTTGGAATGCCTTTATAGTAGATACGATGTCAATCATTTGTAAGGTAAATGGGAATTAATTAAGTGGAATATGGAGTTAATAGTGGAAAACATACACAAAGAGAAGATTTTTAAACATGATCTTCACATCAACAGAGAACATTTTGAAATTTCCTTGTGCAATCCAGATCAGATGAAAGTATTGATGGCTAATTGTACTCTATTTACCCCTTCAGAAAGAGCTAGAACTTGGATTGATTTCAAACCAACACTATTCTAACTATAACTAATCTAACTTTAATGCGCTTCAAGTTCTAGTCAATGTGAATTAGGACGATGGTTAACTGCTATTAGCATAGGAAGAAATTCCTATTTTTCTCTGTGTTTTATATTCTCTCTGATGCTGTATCAGATAAATCTTTAAATAATAGATTTTTACCGCAGATATCTCTAAGTTTTCTATGCAGGGGAACCATATTGGATTTTGATGTAGGGTTTGGTGAGAAACCTTTAAAATTCCCATTCCAAACTCTAATAAATCTTCCACTCAGATGGATATATTTCCCTGTCTGAGTTAATCTAGAGCACAAGACTAAATTGCGTCCTTTGACCATGTATGCAGCACTAATGGATCATATCTAGAGCCGCATCCAGACCTGCTTATTTAGTTGCTGACTGAGCGTCGCCTTCAGACTGCCTTCTGAGGTCATTAAAAGTTAAGAAGACACTGCTAAGTCATCTCATTACTTGCAGCCACATGGAGGTTTAACAGTTTTTAATTTGCTGTGTGATCCTCATTCAGGGCCTGCTGTCTATTCTTCGGAGACTAAAGCAGCCGCCAGAGTGTGAGGTGCGCTTACTGCTGTTAGGGTTGGACAACGCTGGCAAGACCACCCTGCTGAAACAACTGGCAGCTGAAGATATCAGCCACATCACCCCCACACAAGTACAGTGATGTACACTCACATACAGAAGCACTCATAGTTTCTTAAACTGTGCAAATCCACTCTTTACCAGATTCGCTTGGCAGTCATGTCAGACATCAGCTCCCTCCCTTAGCGAGAGGATTCATTAAGCAAAATCTATTTCTACATTTCAACAGGGCTTCAATATAAAGAGTGTGCAGTCCTCTGGGTTTAAATTAAATGTTTGGGACATCGGAGGGCAACGCAAAATTCGTCCGTACTGGAGGAATTATTTTGAGAACACGGATGTGCTGGTAGGTTCAGTCTTATGATTTCATCCTGCATGTTTCTACCCATTTAAAGATCAAGTCATTTGTAGTGATGGTCAAAACTTAAGGTCATAGTGAGGAATGTTATTTCAATTCTAAAAATAACATTAATACTCCATACTTTTCGTACCAATAAAAACTATCTGGTATAGCTCTATTTTATTACTAGTTTCAACATGAATTTAAGTTCATATGGACTGTGGGATGCATAGCCTTAAAATTTTCATCAGGACCAAGGTACGATAAGGGCCTTAGGGTTACTCTGTCTTATGTTTGTGATCATAGTGCTGCTAAAAAATGTAATCATAGGCAGTCCTACTTCTTATTTTGTGCATTATGAACGCAATCAGCCCATAGCATGATGCTACCAACATCATCCCTAAGAGTGGATATGATGCAACTTTAATTCTTTGTGCAAATTATATTACAAAGATGAACTTAGCTTTTGGCCATCAGCAGGTTGAAGACTACTTATCAGTAAAGCTGAACCTTTACAAATAAGTCTTTAGAATATCAACCTAAAATATTATCTTTCTTCTTTGCCACTGGATTCCAGATCTATGTGATTGACAGCTCAGACCGGAAAAGGTTTGAAGAGACAAGTTTGGTAAGATTTTATTAAATATTTCCGACAAAAAAAAACAACATCAACACATTTTCAGTTTTGGTAATCACTAGACATTTTTTTCAGTACAAAGACAAGCTAATTTATTTAATGATTCAGTTATTGCAAACGGTAATATCATCACCAAAGCACATCTGTTTGTTTGTTTGTTTTTTATTCCCAGGAACTTGCAGAGTTGCTGGAGGAAGAAAAGCTTGCAGCCGTGCCACTGCTCGTGTTTGCTAACAAGCAGGACTTGATGACAGCCTCTCCGGCGTCAGAGTTGGCAGAGAGTCTTAACCTGCACACCATCCGGGATCGCATGTGGCAGGTGCAGGCCTGCTCAGCACTCACTGCTGAGGGAGTGCAGGTAAATACAGTGTAAAATGCAAACACAGCAGGAAGAACAGGTCAAAGTAGAGTTTGCTGACGAGTAACAACAACTGTGTTGCATGGTTAGTTTTTTAATTCAGTATAGAGACATTTGTTGCTTTGACGTCACAAGAATAAAAAAAAAGTGAGCTCTGGTAATTACATGCAATTAGTCACAGTAGGCTTACTATCAACGTCTTTAGCCCATATTTACTATTTACTCTGACAATCTCTACACCATGACTATAGTCCTGCCTAAAACAGCAATACATCATCTTCATGCTGGTTCTAACTTCTAGAGAAACATTTGGGGATGTCTCGCTAAAGTACATCACCTATTGCTGAGCAAAAACCTTTATACAAGTAAACTTTTTCACAGTTTCGCATCCTACAACCACATCAGTACAAATCCAAATGTTCTATAAAGGCCTCAGAGGTTTGTTAAAGAACATCAGCAAACAAACAGCATCATGAATGAACACTAAGAACCACAGCCACATGAAATCAGTATTGAAACACCACAAGCTAATTATAATTAAATGATGCTGTGATTAAAAAGTGAAAGGTGAAAAGATGCCCTTATCAAGATTTCCACTGATGTCTTACCAAGGTGGCTGGGATCCATCAAATGGGCAAAGTCTGACTTTAATGTTCTGATTCAGGCTAAATGTGGATAAGAATTTCTAACAAATTTGAATGGGAAAAAAAATACAGACAGACTGATCAACTTGAAATCATGTCAGTAGAGGTCCAGTGTTTAGAGAGACCATTTGAAAGGCCCAGGGAGCACTCTTAGTCTAAGTCTCTGAAATGGAAAAAGCCGTTTAGAAATTAGAAACTTTCAAATCCTAATAAGGTGACAGATTAGGCAAGAAGAGGATTAATCAGAGAAACAAAAAGATAGCAATTCTGGAGGAGCTGCAAAGAGCAAAATTTCTGTTGAGAAAACCTTTTGCTGGTTGGAAACGACATGAGATCAGATTAGCATTTTGTAGGGAACACAACGAAGAAACATGGAAGAAGTTAGGTTAGACAAAAAAGTCTTCATGCATGTGTGAGGAAACTAACATTGTGATTTAAAACATGGTGGTGGCAGCATGATGCTGTGGGGATGATTTACTTCAGCAGAAACAGTGAAGCATTTAAGAACTGATAGGAAGATACATTGCTGTAAATACAGATTAATTTAGGGGGAAATATACTGTTAGTTCTGTTCAACTTCTAGCAGATCAGTAACCCTAAACATGTAAGTATAGTCATGTGTTTTTTAAGTCCAGGCCTAATTCTGTCTGACCGAAAAGCGTCTGAAAGCATCTAAAAGAGTCTGCTATGATTAAAATGTGCATAGCAGGATGCTCTTTATGCAGTTTGAATGAGCATGAGCTATGTTGCAAAAAAGGGAAAAAACGCTTCAAGGCATGCATAGGGATATATTGTAGAAGAGTTTCATCAAAACATTTCAGGTTTCATTTCTGAAAAACAAACTGAAAACCTTTTATTTTGTTTGACTTCTGAAAAGATCTGCTACTTTGTGCCTTTCAAGATTAAATTCCCAGGATTTGGGGATTTGTGGTTGTATGATGTCAAACAGTGAAAGAGTTTTAAGGGGTGTGTTTTTTTTTAAGTAGGTTTCTGTACACCAGAGTAATCAGGATGTTTGTCTCTTCTCTTCTCTTTGCTGTACAGGACGGGATGACCTGGGTTTGCAGAAATATAAAGTTTCGAAAGAGATAACCGGGGAGACATGATCAACACAAAGAAGCACTTTAAACTCGATCTGTGGAATAATTTTGAATCCCTATAATGCAGCAGATATTGGCTTTAGTATTTTTCTTACTCATACAACTGTAATAATAAAAAAAAATTGATATATAAGAAATTCCAGTAGACTACAAAATAGATATTACAGCTGTCACCGGGCCCAGTGTTTGTATATGAATATATGGTTTTGTTTAAATCTTAAATATTATGTGAATCCAAGCAATTCATTATGTAGATTTCTAAATGAATCTCAGAAATCTAATTTATCACTAGAGGGCGACATTGTATCAGCAAACATCTTCCTCTGCTCACATACTATTATTAACATGGGTAGTAGGGAATCTTTTTGCCATGGTTCATCTATTTTTTATGATCATGATGCCTGACAAACCACTAGTTTGGTTCATTTTTATTTATGAACAAACATAAAGTATATATTCACGATAAAATCAGAAAGATGGCCTTGGCAAGCATTTTATAAGTTTTGAGCTAAACATTTTCCCTTTAATGTCTTCCTATTTCAAACTTGGACCTTCTGTTCTATAGTTAAGCTTCTGGTTTTGTGCAAAAAAAAAAGAAACCCCTTAATGGTCTTAAACCGTTTCAGTGGGAAAAACTCCTTGCATGTGCACAAGAAGCTGACTTTAACCCATTTGTCCTGCCAATCCAATACATTGCAGATATACACCTTTCCATTGATTTACTCGAATTCCCACCTTGTTCTTCACAATTCACCATAAGGTAATAGCATTCCCTGTCTCTTTCTTGCTTATGTCTTTTTGCAGCACATTTGCCACAAACCCGGCTAATCTGACCTGGATGAGTGCTCCGCTCTGGTCCTATAAGGGCATTTACATACAAACCTTTTCCAGGACTAATAGCCCACCGATACAATTTGCATTTATATAGCCCCCTTCATACCAACATGATTTGGCACCTTTGCCCATGATAAAAATAACCCTCCTCCTTTGGCCTTGAGTTACTGCCCTGCTGCCAGTGCTGTGTGTGCATTGTGCGAGTCCCTTCTCATATGTAAGGTTGGCTGGTTTTAATATGCTAGAGCCACCCGGGCCTCTGATGTAGTCTGGGACAAGTGCATAACCTTTCGAAATGGGCCTCATAATGATTCAGCCATCAGTGTGGGCTTTGGTCTAGTGTTCTGTATGCATGTTTGCTGCTACTGCGTATTAGATTTTTGTTGATCCAGCAGCCTAGGACACTTGGCCAGGGCAAAGACTCACCAGGTAAATATTAATCCATATCACTCCTTGGTTTACTTACTTAATAAAATTAGAGAACTGTTATGTTTTTGTAAAGTTGAAATGGTATTACAGACATATAGAGGAACAAAGCTCTACCTTTTTATCCACCCACAGTATGGAAATTATATTGCAGAGGCTGTCAAGGGGCCTTAAATCTCAAAAGAATTAAACTTAATTTGCCAAACACAAAGTGGATTGGAGAGAGCGAACCTCGTTACCTCTGGTTCCATCATCAGAGAGGCAGTCAGGCCTGCAAAGGCCCATAAATCACAGGACTTTCCCAGCCTCTCAGGCCAACACTGCAGCCTCCCACAGAGGGAGAAACCAAGGGGCAGAGAGGCCGACTGACCCAAGGGCCGCAGAACCTGAGAGGAGGAGATCCTGTGACTTAATTAAACTAAAGAAGGAAGTGACTTTTTTGTCTAGAATACGCACCAAATCATCAAGAAATAATAAGCTGAAAATAATATTAATTTGTGATTAGACTAAATGTTGCTTTGAAATTGCAACTGGAAAGTTTCTTAATTCTTTCTTGCAAAATACAAAACCTTCCCAAATGTATTTTGGAGTTTAAAGGAAAGATACTTTTACAGATATTAGGAATCCATGGAAAATAGAGTTAACAACCTGATTATGACTGCAACCAGCTAGTTGATTAAAAGCTATAATTTTTTATTGTATCATCCTTATCCTTGAGTATTAATTTGTTAAACCCAAACAGCAGAGATTGTTTTACTTCCTGGTATCAATGCTATATGTTAAAATGAACACTGATGATATGGAGAGGCAAAACATTTTCTAAACCCTAGCAGTGTCACAGCACAGGTGCTTCCTTAATAATAGTAGATAGAAATTTCAGTTTCTAACACATAATTTTATTTTGTAAAAAAATATACAAACTAAATTGGTCCCCTTGTTTGTTAAAAAAACACAATGACCACAGAAATAACTTGACTCTGATAGTAAGTAAAAATGAATCAAAATATATATGAAAATTAAGAAATGGAGGTCAGACAGTGCTTTTAAGCTATGCTTCAAAAGAATGATGAAGAAAAAATAAAGCACTTGTGTAACAGATTTCATCTGTTACATGAGTGCTTCATCTTTTGATTTTTTTTTTTTTTTTGCACAACCTTTGCACAAACACTGCAAGCAGACATTTCTTTTAACTGCCAATGAGACTTCGGCTCCTCTTAGCAAGTATTTGGTCCACTACTTCCTTAAAAGGTGCTCAATAGGATTTAGATCACAGGTTAATATTCCAGTGTTTTCTTCTTAGCCATTTTTGAGTGTTTTAGCTGTGTTTTAGGTAATTATTCTGTTATAAGACCCATTACCTGCATCTGAGACCAAGCATTCTGACACTGGGAAGCACATTTCTGTCTAGAATTCCTTAATAGTCTTGAAATTTCATTGTACCCTGCAGCAATTCCATACACCCCGTACCAAATGAAACAAAGCAGCCCCAGAGCATCACTGAGCCTCCTCCATGTCTCACAGTAGGGACAGAGTTCTTTTTCATGACATGCTTCATTTTTCCACATGTGTGGCTTGGTTAAAAAGTAAAATGTTTGTCTCATCTGTCCATAGGGAATTCTCCCAGAAGTTTTGTGGTTCTTCAGCATGTAATTTGACGAATTCTAGTCTCTTTTTTATTATTTCTTTTCAAGAATGATGTTCACTTTGGCTCAAACAGCAACAGATGGTGTGATCTGACACTGATGTTCCTTTGAGCTTTAAATAGACAATATGTACATTCTTACTGAAAAACATCTCGAAAGAGCCTTTTTATTTGACCCTTTTTTGACCAAAACATAATTTAATGAGCAGACTGACACATCAGTAGTTCAGTGCTGATGCACTTATAAGCCTGTAGTCTATTTTCCTGAATGGATATCTGGTAGACACCAATGGCAACTCCAGGAAATGTGAAAAAAGAAAAAAAAAGTAACCTTGAGTACCATCACTCTCTTCGATAATGAGCAGAAGAGTTCTGCAGTTCTGGGTTTTGGCCACAGGTGCATCATTGAAAAGTCTGCAGTGACTCTTTAAGTTCACCTTTAATCTCTTTAGAATTTTTTTTACTGAACTCTTTTGTTACCATTCCTATTACCTGTCACTTTGATTTGTCATCAATCTTTCCTCTTGCGGCCAAATCAAAAAATGATGGCAAAGGCCCATGCATGTTAAGTTTCTGAATAATATGTGCAACTCTAGTCACACAATCATCTCATAGCCTTTACCTCTAACACGCTTGTCTATAATTTTCTTTCTAATCTCCTGAGACAACTCTTTCCTTTGCTTCCTCTGGTCCATGTTGAATGTGGTGCACACCATGTCACCAAATGGCAAAGTTACCATCTTTAGCCCTATTCATAGGCCCAATAAATGAAAACAAGATTATAGTGATGCTAATTAGTGGAAACAATATATCATGTCCCTTTGGTCACATGGGTTTTGTCTTTTCTAGGGGAATCATCGATTTTGTCCAGGCCTGTTTCATAAGTTTGATTTTTTAAATCATTCAGGGTCTGATTTGCTCTTATTCTTTATCACTTAAATTTGATTCATTATTGCGTTTGTCAGATTGAAACTATGTTTTTTTTTAATTAAAGAAGGGGCATCAACATTTTTTTCCATGTCTGTAAACTTAGTTAAAGGAGGTTTTCAGTGATTTAGGTGTGTTGGGTATTATGACGCTCCTGATGCATTGCTTTTTAAAATTATGCAGTCATGTTAACAAACATGTCTGTTTAATTAATGTCTTTGCTCCATGGATCAGGCAGTATTCTATTGTTTGTGTGGTTAGTAGAATTCCCTTAAACAAATGGCTTACCAGTTATTTCATAATTTAATAAGTGATTTGAAAACTGCATTTTTATATTATATTTAATTAGATTAACTTTGTTTGAGTTTATCGATCAGAAACATTTTATTGCAACAAAAAAGCACAATTTTATTACATTTTTGTACATTTTAAACTAAAACATAAGAAAATAGAGTTGACAGACTAATAATCATAAAATAATTGTTGGTGTGTAGATCTTAACCACTGCTCCATTCTGTGAAGTGGAAGTGAATGGAAGTGCCTTTACCAAAACAGGTCATTTATTATGAGGGAATGGTTTTACTTCTATATTCACATTTAAAAACAGAAAACAACTTAACTCTTCAACACTGTAAAAAAACAACATCTGATGTTAAAAAATGTTGTCTTACTATAATTGTTCTTCTTTATTTCAAATTTAGTTTCCATAGAAGCACAATGACAACATCATATATCATCAAATACCACCGAAAGCATTGAAAACATTTTGTAAAGCCTGAAAAGCATCCATTCTTCATCATTCTCAAGCTTATTCGTCATGACTAAATAGATAAGCATTGATGCTGGATAATAACTTAAACAACAAATGCTTACATTCTTCCCATAGCTTCTTTGAAGTTTGTTTGTGTCTCTTACCTCTCCACGTGCTTTTATCAAGCTGTAGAGTCATAAACAGGGAGGCTGGAAGGCCATAAAAATTATCAGGGAGTGGGGCAGAAGTTCACACCTTAGTGTTTCAGAGTGTGGACGGGGTCAGGCCAGGGGTCGGCAACACAGGGGGTCTGCCGTGCATGTCTGATTTTCCCGAAACAAGAAGAAGAAAATAAAAGATGGAAAATTGAGGAAAATCTGAATTCTATGTACATGGAATGGACATATTACAACTATTTATTGGAATATTCCTGTTGTGTATTTTTCTTTGAAATTGATTAATTCAAAATTGAACAACTTTCATTTTTCACCATCTTTGGACAAAATTAATAAATATGATCATGCTATAGGAAGATGAGACCCAAAAAATAAGGATTCATTCTTGGGATTTTTTGAGGGAGTCGTGGTTCATTCAGAGAGTATGGGCAAATAAAGGAGATGGTCAATGAGTTCTGGAAGCCACAACCAAAGCATACACTGCTCTACCTTAGCCTGACATAGAGAACATGAGACTTAATTTCCTAAAAGACCACCACTAGAAACATGAAATGGGTCCAAATGGGAGACTTTCTAAGGGAACTAAGCATCACTGCCTGCATTCATCGTCACAGCATTTTACAGAACTGGTGCTGAGGCTGTGATGACATGCAGCATCTCACAGTGGTCCTTAAGCTTTGAAATGGCAGAAAGATGGCCTCCGTAAAAACAGCAAGGACAACTGAAAAGGCCAGATAAAATTCCACCGACCTCTGTTTAAGATCTGTTTCTATGCTGTTTCAGGAAGAGAAATCTGAACCATGGCAGAGATTGCTTACATCATCAACCTGAACTTCTTGATCTGGAGCCATCAATCAAATAGTACAGCAACATTAAAGCCAGAACTACCCTGAAACCCCCTGCTTCAAGCTGGTAAAATTAAGATTGTGTACCTTGTAATATTGGCTTGACTTTATATTTGTTGTGTTTTTGAGCTTAGCCTAATATTCTGATTATTAATCTGTCAAATCACTCTATAGAAGCAACATTCTACGTTAGTTTTACATTTATTTTACATACATTTTTAAGGCCTGGAAACGGCATTTTTCGATTAATAGGACCTCAAATAGTGACAGTAAGGGGTTTGAATCAATAACTGTCTTGTGAAGCTTTCCTTTTTATAAGGTTAAAGGTCACACTCTTGACCTCTCGCTGACCCCATCACTGAGAGGAAATAACACTTTCCATCGTCCCAAATCTTCCTTAATTAAATGATTGCCCTTATCAGCTGACAGATCCGACCCAATTGTCACTGACCCCCACCCAGCCTCACCCTACACTCCCATGTCCCTCCTCAGAACTTATAATTCATCTTTTTACCCTCGCTCACTAAAACAGATGCCTGGCCTCATCTGTCATCACAGCGCACACTGACAGCTCCCCGACATGCTTAGATTTTTATGTTTGACTCAATCCAGGGGCTTACTTTACTGTAACCGATTCAATATTTCTCAAATGAGCTGGACGATCTACATACACGCTCAGGCAGATGGGATGATCTATGGCGTCGCCTTAATAGATTTCCCAGGCTTCAGAGCCGAGCTAGTGAGGGGAAGGACGCATAATCTGTGCAATAAAAACACAATTATTCATTTAAATAGCTTGATAATTTATGTTACACACATGTTTTAAGGCGTGAGGAAAAATTGCTGTTTGTCTGTCTGTCAGGCTGTGTGCATAATTCTGTTTTTGTATATATACCAATAGTCATTAGTTGATTATCCAATATGTTCTGCCTTAACTACTAACAGGGTGAATTTCTGCTTTAAATTACACAAATTATAACATTAACACTGTAGCCCAAATGTGTATAACCAGCTTTTCTTTTGCCCTTTTCCACCAAATGGAATAGATTTGTTCACAGTAGGGAAAAATCAACAAACTAAGTTGAATTTAATTTCTTAAAAACATGTTATTTCTTATATTTTATGTATACAGATATTAATCTTTAAATCTCAGCTGAAATTAATCAATTCACAGGTGAAGAAAAGTGTCCAATAATGATAATAATAATAATAATAATAATAATAATAATAATAATAGCTGAACTGATCAGACAGCAGGTCATGCTATCAGTTTCAGTCTGACTTTCAAGCATCCAACATCCCTGTTTGGTAAATCATCCTCAGAGCGAACAGACTCTTTGCCCAGTGTTACGTGAGTTTTTATGCTGTTATTAGTTCATTGTGTTTGTCAAAAAGCAAAGAAATTGTGTATTTATTAGTTTTATTTACCTAAGGTTAACATAGTAGACCACTGAAATGGCAATGTTGTCACACTGTGCTGTGACGATATTGTGGATATCGCATACATAAAAGAATATTTTACTGTGCAGTACACACACAGGTAATCTTACAATCATGAACTGAAAGTTTCATGTTCTGTTTTTTTTTTTCAGCTCTCGAGTGATGAGATAAATGGTTTGATTATTATACATAAGGTAGACACTCCAACCATTAGGCACCGTGTTGGTAGTGTACTGTCACAACGAAACAATTTAGGTAGAGTTTCTTGGTTACATTTTTAAATAACAAATAAAACACATTTTCAAAGACATTAATAGTAATTAATAAGCTGACATATAGAAG